ATTGTTGGCTTTGGTCTTTTCGTGGGATTTGAATATCAAAATTCTACTATTGTCATTTTGCTCTATTCTGTACACACTACTTCTATTGCATGTCTGGGAGAGATCTCTGTTGCTACCTCAGGTATTTCTTCCTTTTTCCTCAGTAAAGGGTTTTTTGGGGAGATTTTCCTCATCTGAATTGAAGGTCTAAGGATAGAGGGTGTCATATGCTGCAAAGCCCTTTGAGGTAAACTGGTGATTTTGACTAAATGTGAAACTATCACAAAACTGCCCTTGTAATTTAAGCACATTTTGAAATCCATGATTTACTTAATTCCAATCCTTTACTACTGTAATATCCCTAATATTCCTCATTTTTGATTGGTTAATGCAGAACTAAGTGGTCTTATGTGCTAAAAATACTATAATCCTGATACTTTAATCACTTTAGATGTCAAAACCCTGCTTGCACAAACAAGGCAAAAAGGAAGTAGAGGTGTCCCTACATCTTTGCATGAAATACAGAAAAAAGAGTTGCTCTGACATATTTGATCAAAACCACAGATGAGTGGAGGGGAAATTATTGATTTCTTTCCTTCACTTCAGCCATCATATTTTGCCACTAGGCCCCGTATACCCGACCACCTGTTTCCAAGCTGAAATACATACTGCTGTGAGCTGCACTCGACCCACAGCTCTGATGGATTTATTATTATCAAACTGTAGATTCTTCCTTTCTCTGACATGTCAGAGCCAGTGAACTCACCATGAACTCCTAGAGGAGAAGCGAAGGTGCCATGTGGATGTTGATGTATTCCGTGTGTGAATGCATGTAGGATGGCGTGGTAACAGTAAAGCTTGTATTTTATTTTATTCAGTGCATGTGTGCGTGTGTGTGAGAGACAGGCAGGAAATACAAAATAAAACTGTGAAACCTTTTATTCTTATATGAACTGTTTATAATTTAATAGATAACAGGACCTGGCAGAGAGAGAGGGAGAGAGACAGAGACAGAGACAGACAGACAGGTGCACAGCAACAGCAGTAGCAACAACTACACTAATAGTAATGACTGATGATGATGAACATGAAGAAGATGAGAAGCCCATTCATATCTGACACCAAAGACCGTCTTTAGACAGAGACAGAAGTGACGCTGTCACCCTAATACACTGCCACCTGTTATCACGTGACTGAAGTTCCACACTTGGGTCACATGATGAGCCAGTTTCATTCTCTGATGAAGACCATGATGTGCAGTTTAAAAGCTACTGTGTGTTTATTCATTTGTATTCATTTGATTTTGTCGTTGTTTGGTTTTTGTTTCTCCTTCATATGTCTACTTTATGATATTCATACATGATGCCATACGAGAAAATGTATGAACTGAATGGCAAAATAAAAAGTACAAATAATAAGTAATAAATATATAGGGCTTAACGTTTGGGTTACATAGGGTGTGTTATTCAGAAAAGGCATACTGTTGTCTATCTTCCCTTGTGTGTTCAGTCTATGTGTGTGTATAACTTTGCTCTCCCTTGTGCTGTAGGTATGGAGGTTTTTATGTGGCAGGCTGGTCTGTCTAGACGTGAAGGACGCCTTCTGTAGCAGCCTGCTCATCTACAACTTCAGAATCTTTGAGAGGAGGTTCGGCACCAGGAAGTTTGCTGTAAGTACCAAAACCACTGAAAGATGAATACATAGATGGAAACACAGAGTACAAATTGAATACACTTGCGGATATTCGTGTCTGAACTAGATTGCTTCAGAACCTAGAATAGATGGATTTAATGTGATGAAGTGCCATTTCACACTGTGTCACGTTCTGTGGCACCAGATTTGCTTGTGGGTTATTTCTTCTCCAGTTACTTTCATAAACAAAAGCAAAATGCTCAGAGCTTTAAGTATGATCGTCAATGACAAGCAATAGTAGCTTCACTTGTGTAGCAACTTCATCTTTTAGGGAAGAGGTCACACGACTTCCTCATCCGGCTCGAAACAGTTCTCACTAACCTGCTCCGTGACTAACATCTGATCTAACTCGTGAACTCTGTGCAAATGTTAGGTATTGTTCTAATCATCATATATGGGGCTTTTTTTTTTAATTGCAGTCCTTCCTGTTGGGTACTTGGTGTCTCTCTGCACTGATGGACTTCCTGCTGGCTCAGGCTTTCCAGTTTCTGTTTGACTATGAGGTGGAGGACCTGCCTGCAGGACTGTGAGTGGTTTGGTGACTGGAGTAGCAACAGTTTACACTAAGCTACAAAGATGCATGTCCTGCGTCTCTGAAAAAACAACAGCTTTACGGCCACTGAGGTTCCTGCAATTAAAATCTGAATAGCCTCGTATTTAGTGAGGTTTATGATGTGGTAAAGCAATGTTCAAAGCATGTGTCAGTTGAGTGGAAAATCTTCATTTTTCACCTCCACATATCACCATGTAAGCCTTTTTTTTTATGTCTTAATCCCCTCCGTGAATTATATTTGGGTATACGGTATTTAGATGGTGATGGACTGTGACAGCAGTATACAGTCCACCTCCGCCTTGCCAAACTTAGTGAAATTATTATTATTCATAGAGAGTAGGATTCTTCTTTTCTGGTTTGCCTGAAATATTACTAATACTGTGCTGCATTAATGTCTAGTGAATATCTGTTTCAGTAATTTGTATTAAGC